ATATAATTAAATATAATTTACATCAGAAAAGAGAATATCGTTATATATAATTTATATCATATAATATAGAGATAGAAAAAATAATAAACATTTTGTTATGGATATGAAATAGAAAAAGAAAAGAAAGAGAGAAAAGTCACTATCTATAATCATATATAAAATTCCACGAGTAATGTGAGGAAAAGAAAATGCTTTGAGAATACATTGGTATAGCAATCGATATATCTCGATATCTCTCCCTTGGCCTACATGCGGGAGGTAAGCGGGTCAATCCTTCATGTGTCCTGCTCTATGCCTGACGTCGTTCAAAATACACTTGAAACTAACAGTTTTATTTAACACACTAACAATTTCTTTTGACAAATTAAATTTGCAAATTGTAAAGTTTGCAAAGACAAATTGTAGAGTTTAATGATTATATATTTGTTATGCTACCGAAAATCTTATAATTTAAAAATTATTTATAAATTCGGTAATCACATATTCAATCTGTTAATTTATTTACTAATTGCGCGTAGTCCATAAATGGAGCGTGCGAAAAAGAAAGGCGCTAAATTATTATATCAGATGTGATTCATTCGTCACAAAGTTCTGCGATTTGCTCAAGGTCACATCTTTTAACCACGCTGCCCTCAAAATTCGCCCGTTAATCTTATTCCGAAATGCAAAATGAGAAAAATAATGAAAAGAAATAAACGTGAGAATGTCTGTCCACGAGACAAAACACCGTCTACGAACAGTCGTGCGAGTACATGAAGAATCACGCGACGTTTTATGCTCTTCTATGAAATATAAAGTCACAATAGTAACGTAGAAAGAGAGAGCTTACACGGTGTGCAAGTATGTGTATACCGGAGGAGAACTAAAGGGAATTAAAGAAGAAAGAGAGAAAACGTGAAGGAAAAGTATAGAGAAAGAGAGGGAGATAGACAGATAGATAGATGGAAATGGAAAACGTGTATCGATAAAAAGAGACGGCGGTGACATATATCTATATGAAAGAAGGTGATGGATAGAAAGAGACGACGCGACGCACACAGGAGCAGAGCGAGAGAGAAATCGTAGAACAAGACAGACTGATCGATCGGTGTAAAAGTAGACAAAGACAGGGTCAGACATTTTCCTAGATCGCGGTACGTATGGCTCGCATATACATTCCGTACATACCGAAGGCATCAGCTGATCGGTAGACCTGACCCGGGTCACCTTGTTCCTGTAAAGTATTCTTTTGACGAGTTTCTCCATCGGCTGATTCCACTTCATGAAGCTCACATATGCCAAATAGAATCCAAAGAGCACGAGCGCTTCATACCAGTAAATATAACTGTCGCGGAAGAAGTAGATCAGGGTGAGCAGACTGGCGCTGTAGAAGGTACAATCACGAAATAGAGGCCACCATGTGAGCGACAGTACCGTACGCGAGAATATAGCGCACATGCCGATTACGAAGAGGATGTTAAAGACGGCGGAACCGACGATAGTGCCGATGCCGACGTCGTCGAACGACACGAACACGCCTATGATCGATGTAAAGAGTTCGGGTGCCGATCCACCGGCCGCCATGAAAGTGGCACCGGCTACGTCGTCGGCGATGTCGAATCTCTCGATAATCACGTCCAGCGACGGTACGAAAAACTCGTCGCAGACGATCGCTAGCGCGACGAACATATACACCACGCCAAGTATGTGAAGTATCACGGCGCCGCGGCGCCGCTGATCAATGGTGAATAAATCTTCAGGGAAGAGCGGTCTCTTTATATCTGTTTCATTAGTAGTCCCATTATGATCATCGAAACTCACAACGTTGTTATTGTTATGGTTATCGTAAATCTGCACGCTGGTACCGTTGCCCAACTGCATCGGCATGGCCGTGCTACTCGTGGTGGTGTGAAACATGATCGGGTTGCTCGGTGCCGGTCTGTGGCCCGAGGACGACGAGGGGCCCATCGCGAGGGCTAAAACCGCGGAGAGCAGAGCCATCACCACTAATCGGCGTCTCCGCCTCCAACATGTACGCCGATCACCGCCCGTCACGATCATCGTCGTCGTCGGTGGTGGTGCTGTTGTTGATGGTTCGCACCCTCGAGGACGTTCGCCGTCGTTAGCGAGGCCTCCGTCCTCCTCCACCTTCGCCACCTTCTTCTTCTTCTTCTCCGTCCTCCTCGGCGTCCTCCACCCTCTCTCTGGCCCCCTCCGCCCCCTCTTCCTCCTCCGCCGCCAGCACCACCTCCGGCTCCTCCACCGCCTTCTTCTACGTGTCGTATCGTGTCGCGCCGCAAAGGGTGTTACGACAGGAGAGCCGTACTAAGGCTGGGTCATGCTGGAACGGCGATGAGGAGCGGCTCCTTGCCGATGTCTCCCTCTGGATGGACCTATCTGTGTGACCGCGGTTCCAGATTCTCGGTACCAGAGATATATTTCCTCTCTCTTCGTTTCCCGCACTGCGTTTTACTCTTCCTCGCTACTACCCTCCGACGAGTTTTTTCACTGAATCCTCACGACGTGGGGACCGGAAGAATTAGTCCGCGGCGTGTACTATGATTACTACTACTACTACAACCAATGCTAATGTACGCCGCTACTATGAACAGGCTCGGGTATCCGACGTGACCGATATCCTTTTGCTTCCCGGCGGCGTCGGCGTCGTCGTCGTCGTTGTCGTCCTCGTTTTTCTTCTCGTCCTCGTCCTCGTCTTCGTCGCCGTCGTCGTCGTCGTCGTTGCCGTTGCCGTCGTCGTCGTCACTGTTGCCGTCGTCGTCGTCGTCGTCGTCGTCGTCGTCGTCGCCGTCGTGGTCGCTAGGATGCGGTGGATGGTGCATATAACCCTGGATGGATATACAGGAGCAGCAGAACGGCGCCCCCGCCGCGATGCCCGCCCGCTGCACACTGGAACAACCCTGTTCCGTTTCGTTCCTCTCTCTCGCTTTACTCCCGCCCTCTCTTCTGCCACCTCGCACCGACGTCGCACCGACTCCCTCCTTCTATCTCTTTCTCCCACCGTGTATTCCCTCCTTCGATCTCCTCTGTTTGCCGCTGTATGCCTCTCTTTCGCTCTTTCGATCGTCTTCCATTCTCCGTTCCATTTGCCGCCAACTCCCCTTTGATTCTCTTCATGATAACGCAATATTTCTCTCTTTTTTTCTCTCTCTCTCTCTCTCTTTCTCTTTCGTTTAGCGTCGATCTTATAACATTCCGCGATCATCCTCATCGCACTAGAGATTGTACGCGGTTTTTTCATGAAGTATCTGCATCATTCTCTTTTCTACCGGGTTAACTTTACGCGAACAGAGATCGTTCTCTCTCTTTGTCCCTCTCAGTTACCTTTCTTCTTTACCCGCCATTCGACGTTCTCCACCCTATGCTCCCGTCTCGTTTACTTTTTCGTTCCTTTTCTCGCTCATTGTTTATCTTTCTTCGCGAGAGATAGATCCTCCGTCCTCTCTCTCATGCGCACGGAAAGCTTCCTGTTTCCTCGCTCCGCGCTAGCCGCGTCACCCCGCGTTTCTCTCTTTTGCGCCACCCAACATCCGTGGTGGGCCACCCCGATTCCAACCCCGCCGAAATCGCCCCTTCGAACATCGTCCATCTCGCTCCGCTGACGCCCCGCCGTCCAGAATATTTCTCTCTTCCACTTGCCGCGACACCCGCACCTTCCTCCCCCGTTCGTACCGACGAGGGAAGTGGTAGGTCGTGGAGGTGGGAGCCTGCGCACGTGTGAGCACCCCTTGCCGGGCCTCTCCCGCTCGATATCGGAGAGTCGACTCTACAACTCCACGTTACGAATGCACGTATAACGGGTGTCACCCGGACGGATTCCAGCCGTCCGTCGCGCGTTCGTGCGCCTGACTTCGCCAGTCCGGCATCGACTACTCCTTCCCAAGGATCACGCTGCAGACAGCTTCTCGGTGCCGTTGACCAGGCACGATCTTCTGTGTCGAGAGATATGTAGGTGACTTGTTTCGCGTCAAAGACACATTGAGAAATCCTTGAAATCGAAGATCGAGACTGATCAATGCAAAGAGACGTGACATTTTCTCACATAACGCCTTTTCTCTACGTTAAAGTCAGTCGAAGATTTGGACATAAATGCAGGGGAAAATTTATTGGTTCTTTGGATCTTTAAGACAGTTCTCGTTCACTCTCGAAGTTACTGCTGGAAATAATCGATGGCGCGTGTATCAGCGCTCTGTGTCTTTGGTTTCTCAGATTTTTCTTCTCCGCAGCTTTTTCTCCATTATTCGTCAATTGCTAATCAAATATATTTTAAAGCTGTCGCGTATTTCAAAGGAGGAAATGGAGAAAATCTATCAAAAGATTCTTTCCTTATTGCATTATAACAATATTTAATACATATCAGTGATGTTTATTTTTGCTTTTATTTTTAACAATAAGAAAAATATTATCTTGGGACATATCCGATGATATTTTTTTAATGCAATTTTCAAGATGTTATTTAATGTCGTTTGCTTTTTCAAGATCAATCATATAAAAGGTTTGTAAGTACGATTTAGATGTTTGTCATGGATAATTGCTGATTGAGATCGACCAATAAAATATTGGCAAATATCGTGCGTAAATAACAATTTAATTGTCAGATTCCATTATGTCATTTTAGAACTTTGATTTATGGTCAAATTAATTCGGTTTAATATAGTTTCAATAAAGATACATAAATCTTCTATTTAAAAAAAGAAAGAGGAAGAAAAGTTTAATTTAATAAAACTATATCCTATCCAGAAAATTTCTTTAAAAACTGCAGCCCTTTAAGAAATAGTAAGCTGAATTTACCATTTATGTTCACCAGTGTGGTCATATAAATGATAGCATAACATTAACAAACATTGTTAGGTATAACGAGTTAAGCAGCTTATGTGCGATTATATGACACGTTCATCTAACAATAAGCAACCGTGTTATATTTTCTTCTACTATTATTGCATAAGCCAATTTAAGCTGCGTAACGTAATCAATTTGTAGTTGCAAATATATTGCTTATATAATTCAGAGTTTCTAACTTTGAAAATGTTCTTAAATAGGAGTACGTATAATAATAAGCCATGCTTTCTGAAACCGTACAAACGAAGATTATACGTCGTATATAAACTCTAACAGCACTTGTATACAATCATAGAAAGTCGCGGATATTGAAGATGGATAAATCTCTATTATTCCTTTATCGTCTTGTTCGCATTGCCCGAAGAACTAACCGATAATACCGACAAAGTGTGTGATACAGTCCGCAAAATATTTTTGAGACGATTAAATGGTTATTTTATGAAACTTTAGTACATTATATAAATTTAAATTCTGCCCAGAAACGTCTCTCGATAATGTTTATCTTACGAAGAAGCATAAAAACTTGTCAAACGGGGCGAGTAGCTTAATTTTAACTTTGTTGTAATTAAGTGACCACGAGTAAGTACACTCAGGGATGCGTATAAGGCTTCTATATATATTAACTATCGCTCTGTCGTGCATCAGTCGTTTATTAATTGTCACAGAATACATTTTTGACTTACACGTATTCTGATGAATATGAGAGGCCAAGAAGGAGTTTGTTCCGTGAAGAACTTTGTCTCAAGGAGACATGTGCAAAGGTAACACTGTCCATGGGGCGGGCATCCCCTAACAGCCTTCACCAATCTCTAACATCGCTCTTAGACCCACTTTGTTATGCCCCAGAGGTCGTTACAGTTATTAGCGGCTGTCAACAGGACTTTCGAGCTTCTGCCTTGTCTCGAGCCTTTCATCGCGTCCGGTTTCCGGTCGATAAAAGGTTTTTGCGAAGAAGGTATAACTTGTAAACGCTGTTATATAATATTTCCTATTCGACGTTTCATTCGAACTAGAGAAAAACCGTTTACATAAATAGGTATATAAATTATGCGCAATTTATTAACAAATTATTAACTATAAATATATGTGATATATATACACGTGCAACAATTGCTATTCTATTTCCAGGTAATGGCATAGTTGTGATTTTATTATATTTATTATAATCTATAAAAGGATTATAAAATGCAAGAATATATTATTTCAACATAATATGACATAATAAGAATTCAATATAAAAGCATATACAGTGCGTGTTATGTAATTTATCTTTAGAGAAATTAATCATAATATTTTTCTGTGATGTTATTTATAAATATTATTACTCTAATAATTACTTCGTGTATTAAAATGTTCGTGTATTATAAATATACTATCTTGCAGACTGTTCAATTTTTTCAATAGTAATTATTGTAAAACATTCAACAACATCTACTAACGATGTTGGATCATAAATAGATTTGATACATATATTTGCAAGTTTTTGGCAAATATAAGCGAATATATCTTTTCCAATTTTTTTACAATCTTTATCATTATATAAATGTGCACAATCTGTTATACAATCTGATTACATTTAATTTTTTATGTATAACTGTTATACAATATTAGCACGGCAGTGCTGATTCAACCAAGTATTTCAGCGAATAAAGGTCAACCCATGTTTCCCTTGGCTCGTAGCTGTGCACATTATGATCTTTTGCGTTGTGTTCCCGTTAACATATGGTCCTTTGCCAGATATTGAAAGCGCACTGCTGTTCAAAATTAATTCACTATCCTCTAGCGGGTTGTTTAAACATAGAAAATATATATAAATATTTTACATCAACTTTGTATCAAAATATAATTATTAAACGTAAAGATATCTACAATAATGATTGCTAATATTAGTATATGAGCCTAACAATTGGTTTATTTTTTATTATGTAACGTTCGTTAAGCTACATAAAAATTAAAAAAACAAAATGTTATTATTTAATGAGAAGAATGTTTTAATTTTTGTGTATATATGTACATATTTTTGCTAACTAACTTCGTCTCTTTTTCAAATGGAATAATGTTACTTCCTAATTTACATAAATGGAAATGCAGATATGTTATATTTTTATTGTTATATTTTTATGTATATAATTTTCATGAAAATAATCGCCATATAATCAAGAATATATGTCATGATATTATAATTAAAATTGTGCTAAATAAAAACTGAAAGACTTTGAGATTGCATTTCTAATTA